CCCCAAAACCCCAAAACCCCAAAACCCCAAAACCCCTTAGATCAAATATAATATTGAAATATGGAAGAAAGTAGTGACGATTCGACAAATAGTAAATACAGGCCTCACCCAAAGAGGAATGAATATAAATCGCATAAGAATGTTTATAAATTTACAAAGCAGGAAACGAAGACAGTGTATTGCCAATCTAAATTTTTATAGTAGATCTGACTCATCTGAATGGCATTATGGAAGTATTGATTCAATCGAAGAAGAGGAGGAAGTTAAAGTAGTTTCATAAATAAATCTTTGTAGCCTCTGCCCTTAAAAAGCAAGATAGATTCTCAATACAAAGTAAGAAATGATTATAACTTATCTTTTAGAAAGACTTATCACATGGAATTGGATCTTCATTAGGGTTCAGCAAAAGAGCAGAGTTCATAGCTCGACAAATAACCGGAAGAAGTAAATATGACCTCGATATACTTGCAAAAGAGCCTGATAGTACTCTTAAAGATCAATTCTAGATAAAATATCGGATATTGGTTCGTCTCAGTTCTCCAGTATAAATGAACTATTTGATGATGAAAGAATAATTAAGGATCAGGATGCTCTGGAGAAAAAGCAATTTTATATGCCAAATGAATACATTAAGTTATACGAAGATAATAGCCATCTAAGATACAGAGTAATGAGGCTTCAGGACCAGATACTAATCCTTGAACAAAGCTTAGGAGCAACTCATAGAGCCAATCTTCAAAAGTATTTCATATCGGGTCATAAATTAGGATGAAGAATTATGCTACTCAGATGGAATTTAATATGGAAAAGGAGTACAAACAGAAACTAGATGACATAGTCAGATTCTATAAAAAGGAAATAAAAGATATTCTCAAGCAATATAATAAGGGCAGAATGGAAGCTGTAAGAGTTTTTATGTATATTTTCAATGTCTTTAAAGCATATATTCGTGACTACCTTATGGAATCTGATTATTTTTAATAATCATTTAGACTACTGCTCATAAAATAGTGGCAAAGCTAATCTCAATGAATCTAAGGTAATCTGATCACTAAATTTGATTTTTCAACAAGTCCTATAGTCAAGAAATGTTTATCTTGGAAATCAGGAACAAAATTTTAGAAGGGGATAGTAACGAAGCAGCTAACTTAAGTAACAACAAACATTAATTTTAGTAAACAATCAAATTATCGAAAGCCACAGTGACATGTTTAGTAAATAAAATGTTAAGAACGAGGGGAATTGATAAATAAAAATATTCAGCAAGTTTTCACCGCAGAAAAGATCGCAGGAATCCAAGGAATCAATATAGTTACAAACGAAGGGAAACCTCAAAAAGTTAATTTTAAAGTAAGATATGTCTTGATAGTTTAGTCTAAGAGAGGTCTTACCTTGTCCTCTGAAGGGTCACAAATGTCAGTCATTGAACAAATTGAAAAGAATATTGAAATATTAAAATAAGAAAAAGGAAATACATGACGCTGAGAATAAGAAGAGGTTTGAAGAAAGAGTCATCAATAACCCAAATATGAAGCATGCGAAGAAAAAGAGCATTCCAGATGAGATCGACAGGAAGGATCGAGAACTTTCTGAATATATCTTAGAGAAGTATTATCGAGTTTCATTATTATAGCGACAAAAAGATGATCAAACAATTGAAGTTTGAGATAGATACTCTTGAGAATATGTACAATACCATCCTTGATGAGAATAAGTACTTGAGCAGGGAGGTTAAGAGTCTCAAAGGTATGCTGACTAGATATTACAATGATAGATGAAATGATTTTGACAAAGAAAAGAATGAAGGATGAATTTCAAATTGAAAAAGATCAGCTAAACCAAAAAGTACTGCGCATTCTCTTAGTATAGGTTGAAGAGTATAAGCATAAATGGAAGACTGATAAAGAAAAGAATGCAGAGAAAGTATCATGTTTCCAGTGAGAGCTTAAGTAATTTTACATGTCTTAACATAGATTACAAGATAAAATATTTGACCGATTAAAAAAATATGTTAATGTCCTCAAGAAGGAATTGGTGATGGCTAAGAATATCATCAAGGATCCTAGAAATAAAAACTTGAGATAAACCTCCAGTATGATTTGTATCCAATCAAGGAAAAGGATAACGATATCCTCAAGTTGATGTAAGTTTATAGGATTATAGATTTAGGGAGAAAAATAAGTCAAGAAGTTTAACACGAAACATGAATAAAACCTTAGAACCGGGGAATAAAAAATGGATAAGCTTTAGAGGCAACGCTGATAAGATGAGATCAAGAGTAGTTTCAAGACAGAACATATTTGACCAGAATTATTCCAGTTCTTACAAGAGGAGCATAGTTACTCCACATTCTTTCGACAGAGCAAGAGGTAACTTTTCTATATTACAAATAGATATGCAATATCCATTTACCCCTCCAGAGAAGTCTAGAGGGTTCAGATTTGTATTTTCCCCTACAAGAGTCAAGAGAGGGAAGAAAACATTTGGCAGGGGAAAAGTTTTTTCAAAATAATATGGTTATAATTATTCAATACGAGGGAAAGGAACCGGGGTTTTGGGGTTTTGGGGTTTTGGGGTTTTGGGG